ATATCCTACCAGGTCAATGAAGCATTTGCTATGCATATTTGCTATTCTTACCATTCAAACACAAACAAATTAATATCATCACCTCCACCCTCCCCCTCCCTAATTCATGCTTAGAGGTGCTTGCCATCTTTTAACATTAATTTCTATCAAAGACAGGCAAAAAGATTAGGGGTAACAAGTAAACAGATGGGTGCCCTATTAAGCAGTTTTCATAGAGCTTTACATGACAATCCAGCTCAAATTTAAAACTCAGCGAACTTCAGGAGTCTGAAGTAACCCAGCATGGGACACTATAAACTTGCAAAGACAAGCTACCTAATGGAGTCAAAAACTTATTGGAAGAAACCAGATGTCTTAGAAGTTGTCTCTTTGAGCTCTATGTTTATAGTGATAATGGACAGGCCTAGGAGACATTATGGAATTGCAACAAGCTTCAATACACACCCTGGATGAACACAGCCAGGTAAACAACAGAGTAAAAAGATAAACAAAAGAAATACAGAAGGGATCAAAATAGGATCTTATTCACCACATACTGTGCTGCACTCTGGAAAATTACCACAAAAGTGGCATGAACAATACCAAGAGGAGGATTCTAAGGCTACATTTTCTTACCAGCTTTGCTACTTGCATTTTTAATATTTTCTTTTTGCTTTCTTAGATATTGTTTTCTATGAAATAAAAGAAATTAGTAAGAAGCCATATTTGGTTAAAATGAGCAAATAACAAAAACATATTTGTTGCAATAGACATAAGACTGTGTGTTTTATCCACCATGAATGTCAAACTTTAATATGTAATTCAGCAATATTTTTCCTTGATCTTTTCTCTCTTTTGCTTTAAAATGCATATCAGGAATAACATTTGCGCCCCATAAAAACATGCTATAACTCCAAACTCATACAATTGAAATAACAGAAGCCACCTCTCAAAATGAAAAAATCAAGAACCAAGCATGGTAATAAGCCTGCATACCACATTTCTGACAGTGAAAGTACTTGTCACGACCACCCACCCTGGAAACCACAGATTAGATCAGAAAAACAGTTGACAGCAAAACACACAAGCAAGTTATAAAAACAACCAAAACTAAATATATTCTGCGCAAATAACTTAACCCACAACATGCTAACTGACCTACAAATTCCACAATCATTGCAATGGAACTGTTCCTTCGTGGTCTGCAACAATCATTACTTAGAATCAGCATGCTTATAAATACCAGACCATAAAATTAAATAGAAATCGTGCAAAATCTTACATCATCATCGTAGAATTTGCAAATGTTGCAGAAATATTCTCCCATATTTACCCCACAATTACAACAAACTTGAGCAACCTGAAACAATGAAAACAGATGTGCCTTGAGAGTTGAGACTTAGAGTTATTACGGAATAAAAACCAGCAGGGCATACCTCCTGTTCGGTATTGCAAATTGAACAAATAACCTGACGCATCAATTCCATCCCGTTATAAACAAATTTTTATCAGAAGAAAAAAAAAAAGTTACTCTTACAGAAAAGTAAGCGTCAAATAAAACATACTTGCTTGACATCCTGCCTGACAAGGTCGTGATGATCTTTTGGGTTGCTAACTGAGTTCTAAATTTATAAAATAAATAAAATTGAAGGGAAAATAAAACATCAGATTAGAAAATTTAGATAATCGGGACAGGCATTCAAATACGTCCATTTACAGGGATAATAAAGAAATTAACAAGCAAAAAGAATAAAAAAAGACATGGACGACAGAAAGGAAGAAGTACTGCGGCCTCGTTGTGGCAATGGCGGCATGGGAAGATCTGATTACAGCAAGGAGCACGGATTTTGCATCGTCGCTTATAGTGCTCGCATCTAAAGAAAACAAAATCAAAAGCATATAATGACTGGAAACCGAAAGAGAACACAAAAGAAACAAAGAAATCAGAAGATACCCATGTTCGAGTTTTCCGAAATCTTTGCTTCTCTGAGGTGCAGATACAGAGCCTCCCGCCATTGGTCAGGGGAAGAAAGAAAGAACAAAAAGAATAACACGAAAATAACGGGATTTTCTACCTTTCTTTTATTATGTTAAATTCTCCATTAAGTCCCAGCAAAAGTCAATTCAGTAGTTATCATTTTATTATATTCAAGTCCTTAAACTTTTATTTTAAATTAAATAATTTTTTTTCTGATCATCTATTAACTTTTATTAATCAGTTATACACATGATACTTTTACAAGATAAATTCACATGATATTTTGATGCTATTACTATTACATAATAGATGAGGTCGTATTAAAATTTATTGATTAAAATTTATATACTTATCATTTTACTTAAACATATATATAAAATGATTGATTAAAGGTTTATAACAAAAATAAATAAATAAATATTTTAATTTTATTAAATTTTAACCAAAATTTTACACGAATTAGTAACTCAAAAATATAAATATTGTTAATAAAAAATATAAAAAAATTAAAAAAAAAATTTCAAACAATTTGGCCAGTCAGTATACTCCCATTCGTCGGCCAACCATCCTAAGAGAGGGGAGCCTTGGGAGCATCTTTTCGGTTTAAAAGATATTTTTTTGCCAAAAAAAAATCAAAATCAAAAAATATAATTTATATAATAATAATTTTTTAAATTAGTAAAAAGTAAATTTTTTTTTAAATACGAATATATCATCAAATTAATGAAAATATTAACAGTTGATTAATTGTTAGAATTATATATTTGATGAAAGATTAAAATTTAAAGAATTTAAGTATTTTACTTGAAAAAAAACTAATTCTTTTTGTCCATAATCACAAAAGACAAACCTTTTGTATTTAACAAAATAATTCATCTTATTTAGGTTTAATCTCAAATAACAAAATAAATTATAAATTTTGAAAAAAGTAATAAAAGCTGAGTTAGTTTGATCTCAATATGAACTAACCAATTAATTTTAAAGATTTGAATCCAGGTACATGATAAAATTAACTAATAAAAGAATTTTTATTATGATTTATTACAAAAACATCAATAGAATCAAAACTCTTTTTTGAAACTTTTGTATATCTTATTATCATCATGGCAGCCATGGCTACACTTTGCAGCACTCAACAGATAAAAATCAAACTTAAAACTTCTTTTATCATTCCCACAACAAACAAAATCACTAAGACACTTGGTTTTGGATATGCTTACAATCAAAAAACTAAGCATCGGAAACAAAAACATTGTTAACACTGGCTTTGGACGGTTCTCTTTTCATAGTAAGCTTAACAATATTTAGCCATTGGCAAATGCAATCTCTCAAAGCATCAGACCTTGATTTCCAGTAGCAATACAATCTTGTCCTTTGATACGGCTTTTTCTCTTCATCTTCATATTTTATATACTCATTAGTTACCAGACAGCAGCTAACAATAATTGAAAAGCATGTAAATTCGAGAAGTCTGAAAGGTGAAAACCTTAAATTATTTTGGATTCAATTTATTTTCATTTTTATCTTAAACTCATTTGTTCAGCATATTAAGAAGAAGGTAATTAGGTTTTTTTTTAAAATCTTTAACACATAAATTCTAATCAATAACATTTAATAACATATTATCTGTCATGTGACAGTAATACCATCAAAATGCAAATTACACATATATTGTTAACTAACAAAATTTAGACAACGATTTGAAAGAGGAGATTTATTTAACTTAAAATAAAAATTTAAAAACTTATTTAAACGTAATATAAAAATAAAAGTTAAATTTATATTTTTAACATAGTTTAAGGGCTTATTTGGTTATTTAAATTTTTATTTTTTATTTTTCCTGAGTCCTAAGTAGTATGAATTACCCAAGCTTTGAATAAAAAAATGTCAATGTGTTAAAAAATCCTAAGTATTATTCTTTTAAAAAAATTATTAAAAATATAATATTATTTAAAAAATAATAAAAAACTAAAAAAAAAGCTATATCACACAAAAAATGATAAAAGTAATATAAAATAAATGACAAATTTCAAAAATTAATTGAGGGATTTTTCTCTTAATTTTTTTAAGAGACATGTGCTTCTTCCTCTTATATTTTTTCACAAAAATAAGTTTCCGTATAATATTAATGGCCATTTGTTAGAAAAGTCACGACTTCTATAACCACAATATGATATTTTAGTAACCATAACTCGTGTAAATTAAAATTTTTTTAATAATTATTATTCATTTTAACATTAAAACTCTTTTGAATATTTTTGTTTATTATATGTATTAAGAATTATTCTGGAGTACCTAATTCTTCTTACCCTGTATAAGAAATTTTAATAATTCATTTTGACATAATAAAATTTCTTTCACTCTCTCAAATTCTTTTCTTCCTAGTATTTTCTTCATCCTATTCTCAACTTTATTTTGCTACTTACTTATCCTCTATACTTTCTTTACCTGGTTCTCCACTTCACTCTGCCACATACCTATTCTTTACGCATTATCCGTCCAAATTTCTCCGTCTTACTCTGCCATCTAACACAGCGTTTAATTCTTTAGTCTTTCTCTTGTCACTCCCTACACATCTTCTCTATTTGTTTGCAACACCATCTCTTCGTATCAGAAGAAGTTAATCTGCAAAAGTAGCACAAGTTTCTTTTTCAGGCATTGATTTACATAAAGCAGTTAATTGATCATTTGCTGTCTCCTTCCTCGGCGAAAAACTAAAATTTGGCAATTCAGACACATTTTTTATGTAGTCTAGTGAAGATGTATGACACCAAATTTCTGCACAATATGTTGCATCATTTGAAAATAAAATGTCCCATAAGCTATTTGCAGTAACCAAGGAACTGGAATATGATATTTACTTTCTTGTTTATGGCCTAACAGCTAAAAGGGATCTAAACTTCGATTTCTTTCTTTCTTTGTTTTTTTCTGTTATGGAGTTGGGTTGTGCGCAGATTGTGTCAACATGTGCATGTAATCCTCTTAAGACATCGTATTAATTTCAGCACATGAAATGCTTTCCTTCTCCTATTGTTGCAAAAGCGAGATGGAATCCATTACAAATATTAACATGACACTCAACACTGGAACACTTAGATTTGGATGAATCAATGTCAAAAGGTATTTTGCTGCAAACTTCATTGTTATCATCTCTCTCTCTGAATTGCATTGATTCATCTGTACAATCATAGCTTATACAAAATGTGTCTCCAAGTATCCTAATTTTACCGGTAAGAGAGGATGGTTACAAAAAGAACAATGATACTTGAGTAGTCAGAGTCAGAACGCAGCCAGTATACAGATGAACACCATTTCAAAAGCAAAATCAGACTAATACAAAGTATAACTACAGTGAATGTTTATTTATCAAAGAATAACACACCCGCATGAATTCAGCTTTTGCATCTCCTCCTGGCTCTTTTCTGCAGTGCACCAAGACAGATGGGAAAATGAGACACTGGACAAGCTTAGACCATCAGACCATAGCTACAGATGAAAGAGTTGGTATGATTTATGCTGGTTGCCAGAATCCAAACTGAAATAAAACCTTGAAATACTGCACTGTACTCCAACAATAAGGGAGACATAGGAAAGAACTCATTCATATCTTTATTCAGTAAAAGAAACTCCATTGAGTGTTCTTTACAGACTATATACTAACATTTTGGGACAACACCTTAATAAATAAGGAATCTTGAGGTTTGATCATATGTGAACAATTTTTAAACAGGTATAAATGCTTGAAACCCTAAGCTAAATCAACTCTACTTTTTCATAATAATGCTAGTGGTGAAAAACAAAAGAAAAAATCAACTATGAGTTTCAATTGTCAAATAACTTGCTCTGCATAAGAAACTTACGTAATCAGATCAGCATCGAAATATTAAGTGAAGAATATAACATAGAGACACAACGATGTTTCTTACTATTATCATTTGCTAATGGCACAAAAAATTAATTAAAATGAATAGTCTCCAACATGGTTATACGAAAGTCCATTGATGACCCATCTAGTGTTCTTTCCAGGGATGACAAGGTTAGACATAACCAGGAATTATTTACATGCTTTTCCTTTTCAGTAGCATGTACTGATAATTATGTACAAAGCAACTCAAAGATTAAGATCATTAATGCAACATCATCTGTTTATTTCTGAAAAATACTTCATAGCAAGCATCCCTTAAATCCCCACCCCCCTTTAGGAAAAAAAATGACAACATGTACACGAGAAAACAGAAAAAGGCAAATAGGCCTTGGAGGCTTGTTACTGAAATAGGCAACATAACAAAACTTGGACTACTTAAATATCTTGCTTTTCTGCTAGCCTCACAGCTACTTTATAAGGTTTATTTAAAGGACTGCTTCATATGCCTGCCTTACTTAAGTAAATGACAACCACAGAATAATTTCATTTTATTTCCTTTTCCCGAGAAATATGTAGCAGGAAAAGGGTGGGAGGGTTTCCTAGATAGATTTATGTACCGTGAATTCAGAAAGGATCTACATGCAAATTGTGAATGCAATGAAGAAAATAAAGACCTGTTAATTCTCAGAAAAATTAAATCCCAAGAAGATTTCATAAAGTACATTCTTGCAAAGAAGTTTTTTCAAGAAAGAGAACTTGACAAACCTGTCTTATTTTTTGCTATAGCAGGCTGCACTACTACGTGCATGGTAATAACACCAACGGGAAGATCACCAAACATTATCTTGGAATCAGCGAGCGTTTTGTTGTTTTCCAGAACTTTACCAGCATGTATAAGTTTCAAATCATTTATTGACTTTGGTGTGACTGTTTTGTCTGAAAATACATAAAGACTCCATTAACTCAGACACGTTGTAGGAAAGAAGCATCATCCAAGAATATTTAAATTCAAATTCCTTCGTATTGAACATTCATAAACATGCAGTATATGTATATGAGTTCATATACAGTGGCCAACAACAGCCCTTTTCTCCAAGCTGAACGAGATCATCAAAATGAAAATTGAAGCCTGTTCTGCTTGCACACATTAAAAGTGTGTATATACCAATGTCATTCAAATGAGTACAAACCAATACAAAAAATTGTTTTAGCATACCATATAGGCAATGCTCATTACTAAAATGATACTTATCAATGACAGGGTTAACAAACATTGTAGAAAAGAAACTCAAAGCAAAGACCAAAAGACAAAAGTATCGAGCACATGCCCCTCAAGCGATGCTTAGCTCAAAATTGATTAAATAAAAGATATGAAAAACATAAACAACCACAATCAAACTGAGCACCAATGATGTTTAATTCAATTTCATAATTCAGTAAGGAGTAAGTTACGAGCAGGAAAACATGTAAACTGAAGGGTAGATGGATAACCTTGGGGCCACTCAGCAGCAATCTTTTGCTTAAGAGTTGAAACAGTCATAGATGATGCATAAGTACTGTGTGCTATATCCGTTCCATCATAAATGCGGAATTTAAGCTCTATAAGCTTCTCCCCCTCAGCCATAGTAGTCTTAGTTCACTGTTTCCCAGCTTGCAGGTCGAATGTGATAGCAAATGAACAGTTTTAGTCCCAGAATTCAGTCTTCCCTCACTCACCTGCACAAGAATTCCCCATATCTAAAACTCAACCGTAAATCTTCACATTCTTAAAAATTTTTCTTGCATAATCAACACAATGGCCTATTCCAGTTAAACCAGGCAGAAGCACAAAGGATTACTATATATTTTCAATCATATCACCAAGAAAGCAAAAAACTGGAGAACTTCTTGTTACTTTTTGTGAGATTGTTTTCACACTCATGAAAGAAATGCATAATCTAATTCAATTGCATTATATTAAACTAACCTCAACTAATCCTTCGAAAAAATTATTCGGTAAGAGTGCATGTAAATCAACTGCCTAAGAACCTCGCCGACCGAGTGAGCACTTCATATGATCTGATAACTGATAAGGTTCCGGTCAACAGCTCTCAACCAATGTTCCTTTAACCAAATGCAGAACTCAACCTCAAGAACCGAACTTATGACCAAAATAAAATTAAAAAAAAAAAGATCTCAGATATTCTGCTATATTCTAATTGGAGAAGAAAATTAACATGAAACAGCAAAATTCCTATTAAATATTATCGAATTGACAAACGGGGAAAAAGAATCTGAAAAGAAATGCCATTGAAACCTAATGGAGATGAATTCAGGTATTATCCATTCCTCTTTTTCTTTTTCTCTAGTTTGTTTTCTCGTTTTATCAATTCATAGAACCGAAATCACAACAAATATCGCCGTTTTCTCTTTCTTTTAGTTTTCTTTTTCGTCTAGAGAATCAAGGAAAATCATCGAAAATGATAAAAGATCAGACAAAAAAAAAAGATCGAGAGAGGAAATAAGGAAAATACCTGATCAAGAAGCCATTGACGGAAGATCAGTAAGAGAGAGTCGAATTAAGCAAAAGGCTTTTTGTAGCCACAGTGTAGGTGTTTGAACCAAAAAAAAAGCGAGAAGTTTTCGTTCTTTCCTTGATAGTTAAAAACAATATTTTTTTTCCCTTCTTTTCTTTCCCTTTTCTTTTTTTTTTCCTAAAAAAAAAAAAGAATTCTTTTCCGAAAATCTCTATGATAAGGATGCCAAAAATAGAAGTAGATAAAACGGTCGATCTAATCCAGAGCCAAATTTATACTACTGCAACTACTACTTTTTACAGGCTCGATTATCCTGTGGAGACAGTAGAATAGAACTCCTCATGCATACATTCTTTGTTTGCCACGTCAAATCAATGACCTGCTGGAATGACTAAATTAACCTATACCTACACGTGGCATTTTGTAATTGGATTCTCGTATAATTAGGTCGGTCACCAACAAATAGAGAAAACGGAGGTGGCCGTTACTGTTAGTTATTTTCCCCTGGAGCAACTCATTCAATTTCTCTCTCTTTTTTTTTTTATGGCCTGAGGAATATAAGAAAATTTGAGTGGCAATTTATACTAGCAGAAATTTATTTACTTCATGCAAGAAAACTTTATAAAAAAAAATTATTTATACATACGAGAGTTATTGGACCTTCTAAATTTTGGGTATGTGATGATCATTGGTCCAATAATCTTTGCTTAAAGACATGATTTACTGAAATAACACTTGGATTGTAGGATAATCAAAGATAATTAATTAAAAGAGTAACAATCATTAAGCTAATTAAGCAAAAAAAAAAAGGTTAAAAATGGACTACAATATCAGTCAAGACCCGAGAGTTGCAACATAGATATTTATGCAAGCCCTTTTGGGCCCAAAGAAGGAAGTATGGTGTTCCCATGCCAATATTTCTAGTAAATTAATGGCCTCTGCTGTCAACTATCAAGCTTTTTCGTGTATTATATACTACTAGTAATTGAAATGTTTAGTCCATTGGTCCAGCTTGGCCATTCCTGTAAAGCGAAGAGAGAATATAATCCTGAAGATGGTGACTATGACACCCATGATGCGATTGGCAGTTGCAACCCACCGAAGGCAAGTTAAAGTGGGTGGGCGGATTGAGGGGAGGCTGCAAAGTGCTTCCTTCAGACAAAGCTTTACCTCCAAATATCCTGATCTTTTTTTGGCCTGGAGCTGTCTTACTTTAGTTGTTGATAACTTATACGTGTGTAATATATGAACATAGGAGTATCTACGTATTGGTATATTTTAACTGAGATTCTTCAACTCTCCTTGAGAGAAAAGAATGCCCAGTTAGGGGAAACTAAGCAGATGAAGCAGAGAAACAAACTAAACCACCTTGGTCAAATGAACCAGTATATTTTCTCAAACTGATTTTGGTGTTCTTAGCACCCAATAGTTGAGTGAGTCTCATTGTTCTTTCTGGGGCATTAAATCCCTAGCAGTTAATGAACCTGTTGAGCCTGAGGAATAGCTCAGCTTGCTATGGCAGACAAACAAACAATGAAGCTTGTTTCAAAGGTGTCAAGAAAAATGAGTTGAGATTAGATGGAAACACATTTATTTTGGAAAGACTTACTTACAAAGTTCAGTATCAGGGTGGTAAGCACACAGTAGTTAATAAGAATATGGAACGTAATGTAACTTCTTTGTATACCTCTCTGTTGATACACAGCTAAACCATCGCTTGATTGGAAGCTTTATGATTTTAAGTACAGATGATCGGATTTCTTATACCATCTTGCTGCAGTTTATTCATCCACTAACATTACTTCACTCTTTAAGCATCTGACTAATCAGCTATCAAAGCTTCCTGGCTTTGTTTTATCCGTGCAGACAGGTCTTTGCAGAAAAAACTAGATGGAACCGAACCTGTCTGGATAAAACTACGAAAACTAGCTTAAATGAGGTTTAGTGAATAATTGTAGACAAATGTCATTATGGAATTTTGTTTTAGTTGCTAAATAGAAATGAAAGCCAGTATTAATTTTGCATGAAGAACATAAGATAGTACAAGCTAGTATGGTTTGCAGTATCACAGCACAGGTTGGTAGGTAATGTCTGATGACAGTACAGAGTGGTCAAGCGGTCCATCCTCTTTTCTCGATGAGCAAAAGATCCAAACCAGTTGCAAAGGTCATAGCCCCCACTATGATTAAGACTGGCGAGATTGACTGTCAGAAAGCTGACAGTTCCAATATTGTTTGATTCCCTTTGTAGGACTCCACCTAGCTCGATTGATCGTGCTTTTGCCTTCATTGACAGCATTCATATGCTTGTCTCCATATACAATGGAGGAATCTTCTAAAGACATTATTTACAGTATACCTTTTTTTTCATTTCACTGTCCCCTTGATCAATAGAATAATTAATGCAATAACTAAAACATTTATGGTCATGTTAATTAATGATCAGTTCAGTCAGGAAGATAACTATTCCATATATCATGTAAAGTGGGGGGGACCGATCATAGCCGAATTTCAGCGCCTGTGGGACTTAAGATGTCCTAATCTTACAGCATTCATGATTGTTATTGGCTTGTTTTAGGCTACTATATTCAGCTGTCATGCACATTCCAGTTAATTTATTTGGTTGTAGTGATAATTTCCAGCATGCAAAGAGCACATATAAGCACAGGCTGCATTTAAATCAACTAAGAGGTATGTGTGTGTTGATTTCTGGCTTCATTCTTTCTACATCTATTGAAGTGCTGACCAACAGAAAATATATATATATATATATATATATATATTACTCTTTATCTTTTTTCTCATTAAACGAGACGGGTGTCTTGATTTCAATTTCCAGCATTAACATGGAATTATTCTCATTGAAGGTGAATTGTCGAATCTCTTCATTCTGTCATAAGGCTGTTCACCTCAGAATGGTCTACAAACATTGCTGAAACATTTGAAGCAAAGCTGTAATTGCTACTGCTTATAATACCGGACCCAATATTTGCAAATTAATTCAAGTGCACCTACTGAGCACTATTATTTGATGTGCTAAAGAGAAGAATATGGCATGGGGAATATCATTAATGCCATCGAGATTCTAGCAAGTTCCCCACTGATATATATATATATATCATCAGATCTTACCTAGTTTTTGTTGCAAAGTCTGAGGGGAAGTTTTCTACCATTGATCTTGACTGACAACCACTTGTCTACCATTGCAGAAGAAAAAGAACAAAGTAAATTAAAATAAAGAATAAAAGGCAAGGAATGTAATACCTTTCTTTATCCAAGATAAAGTGGAAGAACCAATGGCAGCAGACAACAGAAAAAGTTTAGAATTTTCCTTTTTAAAACTTTTTTGCATGTGGAGGAATGCAATAGGGGTTTCCAAAGTTGAGGAACTCAACTCTGGTTAGGTCCCTCCGCATAACAATCTTTTGATGTTTCGGGATATTTTCTATTTTGTACTACTGTGAGTATTTCTCATACATTGATCCGAACTGACTCCTTTTCAGTTGTTCTTAGGATGCGTATATCAAAAGATTGATCATGGGGAATTTCATCAGGATGCTTCAATGTAAAAGCCAATCACTTTATCACCAGTATCTGGCATTTTAAGATCTTACAATTCGGTGTGTGGACCATTAAATAAAAGATAGCATATTGCTTTGCAGAAACTAGCATAAAGTTTATTCAATTTTGGGGTTCTGACTTGAAACATGCACTCACAAATGATATATGTTGTGATATGGATGGAAATAACTGTAGATATGCAATTCCAAGAGATGCTGCAACAATGAGAGTTTGTTCATGTTCATATTTAGATTTGTACATTATACAAATGGCGTCACAAATGAATGCTTGAATGAAATAATTGTAGAAAGTTTCTCGACGGAGAGAAGCATCCATATGACATACAGTAATTAAATTCTGTTGAACGTCAAACGCAGAAAGTATATAAAGTTAACTTCATAAGAAATAGAAGTAGATTACATGCTAGAGCTAATCCAAAGCTACAGAGAGCACATGAGACATATAGAAAGCTACACAGACTACACAATACACCGCTCACTGGAGACTATTGATTCATTCGAGCCAATTTTATTCTTTCGGTGTGATATTGAAATACTTAATTTAACACAACTGATAGGGCTTGAGCAAAGGTATCAGCCCTCCACTTAGATGGAGGGACATGACTTCATTGGTGGAGCCCACCAGCTTTCCTCCAATGAAGACAGCTGGAACCGGCGCGTTACACCCCAACCTCATGAGAGCTTTCTCCATATCCCTGCCTTCTGGGTCTTGGTCGATCTCATGAACCACAGGGCTTACCCCAAGCTCTTGGAATAGAATTTTGACTGCATAACACAGGCAACATGAGCTCTTGCTGAATAGCACTACCCCTTTCTCTGAGGCCAATCTCGTCACCTTGTCCATGTTGAATCCTGATTTACAATGTTCGCTTAATATTTGCAAAGTTCTCTGGTGAAGACAGTAAGTAACACGGGACAAAGAAAATGTTTAAGTTGGAGAAGTCCCTTGGTTACCTGTCGATTTCACTTAAAGCTTAAAGACCATCGGATCGAATTCAGACTGCATTCAATCCAATGGCAGTGGGAGGTTGGACTTTGAGAAGGTGAAGTGGGAAAGAGAGAAAAGAGTTCAAAGCTTTAGGTTGCTGAAACTTAAGCTCCCATGCTAGTATTTATAGGGACAGCATCGAGTAGACTCCTTTGTTGAACAAGAACATATATTCAAAAGAAAATGTGCTTTACCTAGATGCCATAACTAATAAAGCTACTTTATGGGATCGTGACTACTGTGTTTCCATGGGCTCACTCAAAAATTTTCTGCTAAATATTTACTCAAACCATCAGACTGATTGACTATATATAAGCCTGTTAGCCAGCTGATATAAGCATTTATTGAAAATACACGGTTCAAAATAATGATCAAGTAGCAAGATTTATGTAAATTGCTTTTGTGACCAACGTGTTTAGCCTGGAAACCATTTATTCAACCTTTTTTTTTTTTTGTAGATTTTATGGACATGAATACTCTCTAATTTCTATCAAGATGTAACAAAAGTAGAAAATTCTGAGGCTAGTCAATTAACACCAGATTCTCACAATCGCCTCCTTTGAATCGTTATGCAGAAAGATTGAGAATGAGATTGCGAATGTGATGGCTTTCGGTGGCTGTAATTCTTTCTGTCGCGCCCACCAACTTGTACGATTCTTCCCACATGTGAGCACACATAGGCTCACTTCACTTCATGCATAGCTCTGCTTCTCTTTCAGGCAGTGCCATCAAATGTGAGGGTGAGCCTGAGAATGGCAAATGCTCACACGTGCATGACAACAACTCTTCCTTGCTCAAGACGGCACAGGATTCTCCATCCTCATGCTACATATCTTACGGTAAAGAATATAAGTAATTGGCTTTACAAGAAGTGCACATTGTAGAAGAGGCAGAGGTACAGTAATGGTACACGCTGGCAAAGTCATGAATAATTTAACAAATGATGTTTCATGTATATCCAGAACTACATAAATGTTTGTGCATGTGTGGATGAGTATCCATGTACTACAATAAAGTATGCATGTGCGTCTAGGAGCTTCCATGCATAATGAATATTTAACTTTTTGGCCTTTTATTAAGATTTAGATGGGAAGGAATAGAATGGAGGCATAAAAGATTGCAGCATCAGCATCACCTTTTTGTCCCTAAAATAAGGCCATATACTCACCATGGTACAAAGTCATTTGCTGAACAGTCTAAACTTGCTAACTGATAACTGATATCTCGCTTGCCAAGTGTCTAGTCAATGGGGTGACAGGGCGAGAAAATAAGGAACCAACCAATTTGCTGTCACTTTTAAAAGTAATTAAAGAAAAGACTGAAAATCTGCAATATGCTGATCAAGAATTTCATCAGCTTGATGTGGCTAATTTTGCTATAGTCAATTCATGATACAGCGGATTGCTTTTTGGAAGTGGATAAGTTTTCAATTGCATCACCAAAAGAACAGTCATGCATCGTGGTTGTGGGAACTTTATTCTATTACAGTTTAGCTTGCATATACAGGAAAAAATTTTAAAATATTCTTTAGTGGGGATTCCCTGAACACCGTCTGATCCTAAATTTGATCTAAGGCCATGCATTACGTCAGTTTCTGATAGAAAAGAATCCTAAAAGGTGAAAAGCCTTCAGAAAGTCTGTTTCCTTGCGTGTTTTCATATCCATGGAAATGGCAGTAGGCACCCGTAAATATTCAAGATACTATGTACTAGCATTAACTATTTAGGCTATAATTCTCAAGAAGTGTCATGTTTTCATACAATGTATTCAAGGAACTCAAGAAAAAGCAAAGCCCCTAGTACAACATTTTCTCTTTCAACAAGGTATTATAAATTTATTTTCACAGTACTACTAACTTTGCCAATTGAGTAGGTCAGTTGATTTTATCATTTCTAGAACCAGATGGCTTTTGCATCTATGAGCATTTGTTTCAGTGATCCATCTACATGAAGGGATATGACATCTTTTGCTGAGCCTATAAATCTTCCACCTATGAACACAGCTGGGACCGAGGGATCACACCCCAGCCCTCGTAGAGCCCATTCCATATCTCTCCCACTAGGATCGTGGTCAAGCTCATGAATTGCAGGGCTAGCACCAAGCTCATAAAAAAGTGTCTTGATGCTATAGCACATGCAACATGAGCTCTTAGTGAATATCACAGCAGCCTTCTTCGACGCCAGATCTCTTACCCTGTCCATTACGACAAGCTTTCTTCGCTTTTGAAGAAGTAAAAGTGACTAACAATGCAGCCAAATAGCAAAAGAAGGTGTAGGAGAGGCTTGGAAAAAAAGGAATCAATTTTACAGTAAAAAGAACAGGCAGGCAGGCAGGCAAGTGAGCAGGCTAAACTGTAGGTGTAGGAAGCTTGTATGTGCTAAGGCTTAGATCTGGTGGACTTTGAGATTTCATCATCTGGTATTTATAATGCCTGGGAGAGGAGGGGATTGCATTGTTTAATGCATAAAATAAAGAACATAATGAAAACAATGTTAAAGGATAAAAAGAAGGAAGTTCCTTCAGATATTTGTTTGGATAAGAAACCCATGATTTGCTTGATAGTGACGACCCTGTATGCTATAAACAAGTTGAAATTAGTATCCATCATATTGCTAAATCAGACTTTCAGGATTGTTGTCCGTACAAGTAAAATGTGCCGGAATATATCATCAAGAAGCTAATCTTTAAACAGAAAAAAACACTTTCGGCTCTAGCTGGTAGCATCACAAATGAGTAATATAATATTATTACATTACAAAATGATCTCAATGCAACAAGGGAGACAAGAATAATGACACTTTAATGGTATCAAATAATAAAATACTACTAATAATACGTAGAATTCTTTTTTTTCACTGTAGTCAATTCGGAATGTCAATGGCCCTAGAATAGAATCACTTTCTCTTAGTTTGGGACATTGATTTTATCTGCAAATTCTTTATGTAGCATGACAATGCTAATGATAACCTAAAAAGGTTCCTTACCCACCATCAAAATGCCATTCTTCCTGCAAAAATAGAGGCTAATCCTTATGTCATTGATTGACAAGCAAAGATCATGTATACTTGCATTTAAGTTCAACTGATTATATTATTACATTGTTGACGAAGTCGCAAAGAGCATGGCCATTTTTCTAAACTGCCTTTTTCTTTTGGTTTCATGTTATTTTTTGGTAGCTTGTCAAGGTGGAATGGGCTGGCTGATGTGGAGAAGGATAAGAGTTTATCCAATTCATTCCCACTTTGTTGCATTGGTCCCCCTCTTCAAATTCATGGTATATGAAACATCAAGAAAAAGGACAAGGGATTTGGGAAAGCAAAATGACATGAAGAAAGTAATGCACAAAGGATATTAAAAAGTTCAGTCATCAGCAGGAAATTGCAACATCAAAATTGCTGCTTCTTCTTTTTATTTTATTTTAATGACTCTTTCCAGTCTTCCTTCACTTAGTCACAGAACTGATGGCTCATAGCTATACATATTTCTGCAGTTTAAATAACTCTGAAATGGCTAAAACTTGAAGAAAATCATCTTAGGGTTCATTCTTTTAGTCTTTAATTAGCTTGAAGAACACATTTGTTTAGTGATTTAGATATATAGATTAGCTTTGTGTTGTCGCTGAAGGAATATATTGGGGCTTATCTATCGCCTATAAATTGGAGGGATAAGTTGTCCTTGCAAAGATGGCAAAAGCCAGCATACTTTAGCAATAGTTCATGAAAAAGCTAAGAAGAACAAAAAACAAGACTACCTACTTGGTCCTTCCATCATAACCAACCGAATCTCCATTCGCTAGCCCATAGGTGCATCTTCTTCTTTGTTCTGCGTCATCACTTTAGCATGAAAGAATCCTTGTTTTTCACTCTCAGCCTCACAACATGACACGCCACACACTTCACACCCCACCATATATTCATTATTTACGTACACACACATATGTTTATACACATGACCGTATCTGTATGCATGATCAACATTTAAATGCATACATCAATTTCATCCTATATATGTTTGTCATAGCAATGATATCATCTCTTGCATCGGGGGAAAAAGTTCATAACTTCAATCTACCATATATATATATATATATAGATATGAATGTATTTCTTCCCTATGTACATGAAAAGATTTCTTAAGCAATTTTTATTCTTAATTCTTCTATATCGTCTGAAAGCTTTTCAATGGAATAGAGCTAATGCCAACTTGCGCAAGCAGGGAGAGATACTCAAAAGTCATTACCTAAATTTTGATTAATCATTTTGTTTATCGAAGCCAGTTAAATAGAGCCTAGCAGTTCCTTTGGGCCAATCTTTATATTTTACAGTTATGGGCCTAAACTGAAAAGACATGGAGCCGAAGAAACTGGAGAGTGAGCCCAAAATATTACTGGACCAAGTCTGCCCAATAAGCATTTTCCTACCCTTTTTTTTTTCTAAATTTTTTCCCTCTAAAGTTCCATGACAGCATAAAATAAAACAATATGGGATTTTTGAAGATTTCTAGGTTGTACGCGTAAGGGAAGAAGCCCTAGCTTACTCCTGCGGATTCTCAGCTCTTCTCTCCAAGGTTTGCTGTTTCACTGTATTTCATCTATTGGTTTGGTTACACTAGGAAATTGAAGAAAACAAAAGAAAATTATCAACGGAATGTCAATTTTTTGTTTCAGTTGCATTGCTTTTGTTGAAGTAAGCTCCATTTCCAGCACGTACTTGACCAATTATCAAAATAATTTTTAAATTTTGAGTCTCTGGCTATCCATAGTTGCTAGGATTTCATGCAGATTGGAGCTTTGAGCTGTGGTTAATGGCCGCTTGGTTATACAAGTGGGATTTTCTGTTGCTAGTTTCTTCTTTCGCTTGCAGTTAATTTCCATTTGATTCATGTTTGAAAGGAATAATTTGTGGTTTTTTTTTTTGTTTTATGCGTTCTTTTTGGATGGGAATTGATGAATTTATAGTATTGTTTAATTGGTTACTTTGCTCACATCAGGGAATTCATCAATAAGAAACAGTTGTTATAAGAGTTTTTGCCGATGTATGGATGTAGAGTTTCAGAGAGAAGTTGTGTATCTAACCATTATTTTTGAACCTGGTTTAATGAAAGTAAAAGTTATATGCTTAGTATAAAACATCCAGAAAGTTTATGTTGGAAAATATGTTGGCTGCCTTCACAGATAGGTTGATAATCTTTGTTGGTTTCTGACTAACCATTTCACATTAGGAAAGCTGAAATCGAAGATGTTTATGGCTTAGGGAAAGCATAGCTGTTGTTTGATTATTTGTAGCATATTATTTACAAGTGTTTTTCGATTCCTTATTGAGCTATTGGAATGTCCTTGTCTTTTCTCACATTTCCAAGTTCAAGATTACGATTTCCTCGACATTATCATCTACCATGCTTTTAGGTTTGCTGAGATGGCAGATGCTCAAGACATAGATGGCAAACTATGTGAAGAAAATTTTCCCTGTACATCTCAAAAGCAGGAAACTCGAGATGAAATGCTTTCTAGGCACAGGTAATATGTTGTTCTTTAATTTATGCTTTTCTTTCAAATTTAATCTTGTTAGTTAATCCGTCCTATCGCGATGTATATGTTTTAATAAGAAGGTGAATTTAATTGCTATTATGAAATAAGGCTGATTTGTAAATAATACTATGCCCTGATTTGAGAAAAGTAATTTGAACAAAAAACTGCATTTTGCTTGACAGGAATTAGTCCGTTGGATGTTTACTTGGATTTTTTTCCTACTTAAGTATTATCTTTTTTATCTATAGTAGTTATTATTTATTTATTTATTTGGGGAAGAGGGATGCAAACCTTGTGCTTTGAGCAGAGGGATACATGTACCAACCACCGAGCCAAATGCTCGAGGTGCAACAATACTTAATTGTTCTCATCCTATTCTGCAGGAAGGAGATATTGCAGCTGCAGAACAAGGAAATTGAACTCAAAAAGGCAGCTGCAAAGGGTAGCAAGGCTGAACAAAAGGCTAAAAAGAAACAGGTGGAGGAAGAGATCTCTCAGCTCTCTGCTAAGCTTAAGGAAAAGCATGCCGAAGAGCTTGGTTCCCTAGGCTACTGTAATAGTATCAGAAATGATAAAAGCAATATTGACAATTTGGTGAAGGCCATAGCTGGGGTATCTGTTACCACTCAGCACGATCATCCAAAGACAAGCAAGGGTGCAAAGAGACGTGAGAAACGAGCTCTGCAAGAAGTGGCTAGAGAACAACGAATCCAAGAAGAGCAGAACAACATTGTGAGTGATAGAATGATTGAAGATGAGAAATTGGAGAAAAAACTCGAACCCCTGGGATTCACAATTAATGAAATAAAGCCAGATGGACACTGCCTCTACCGAGCTGTTGAAGATCAATTGGCGCTTCTGTCTGGAGGTTCTTCTCCTTATACATACCAAGAGCTACGGGAAATGGCAGCTGCTTATATGAGGAAACATGCATCTGATTTTCACCCTTTTTTCCTGTCAGAGAATACCATAGATGGAGATTCTGATGATTCACTAGTAGAGAGATTCGAGAACTACTGTAAAGAGGTGGAGTCAACTGCTACATGGGGAGGACAGTTAGAGCTTGGAGCTTTAACTCACTGCCTGAGAAAACATATCATGATATTTTCAGGATCTTTTCCTGATGTGGAGATGGGAAAGGAATACAAATCTGATGGACGGTCCACTTCATCTAATGCGACTATCAGGCTGTCATACCATAGGCATGCCTTTGGGCTTGGAGAGCACTATAATTCTGTCATCCCAAATTCAATCGGATAGGTATAATTTTGTGATTTGTGAAAAGTTCCTTTCTATGTGCATGTTTTCACTATAATGTCTTGAGGGAACAATAAAGTGTTGGGCACTAAATTAAATTTTGAAACTTAGTTTTGATTGAAGCCGGTTGATGCATTATTAATTTATTATCTTACCTTATTTTACCATGAGTTGGTAAATGAAGTACTACTCACTCGCTATGGGGACGGGCCCAGCATATAAGGCTGGGGCCTGAATACAAGCTTGGAGATTGAAGAGCCCTGTACTTTTACCAAGTTCAGAAGGGACTACCATTAGGGACTGAATGTAATTACTTGTTCAACTAAATTGGAAAATAACCCAAAAATGGAAAAACCTAAAACAAATACTAAACTGGATTCAACCGTGATGATTGATCTGTTTGATTTATTCTTCTTATTGTTACAATTCACTTTGACTTCTGATGGACAATACTGAAAATGATTTGGCTTGATTCAGTTATGGATTCTGCCCCTGAATTCTGAATTACTAATGTTATTCTAAAAATAAAAATTGCAAATAGTAACACAGTTTAGGAGGTGGCAGTTTATTTTTCGTTATCCGTAAAAATTTTGGCTAGAGGAATATTATTTCCTCCTAAACATTCGAAATTACAGAAAATAATTTTGATTTTAAAATTAAAAAGGAAAACGAATACTTTCAACTGGGGTCAATCTCTTAAATATGAAAATCAAATCAAACCAAGATATAGCTTCCCTAGTGCTCTCTTTGAGCCTTTAATGTAGGCCTGATTTCCTCAAATTTAATAGGAACATTTAGCTTGTTTTGTCAAGTGTCACACCCAAAATGATAAGAAAAAAGAATGGGCAAATTGCGCGGAAGGGTATCAAAGGAGAAAGACCAGAATGGACTACCGCAGACCAGACCAGACCAGACCAGACCAGATACGATAAGTAGATAACAGATTGACAATTACAAAAGTAAGAAACTAAGAAACACGCGCCGCGGGCCAAACCTCATCAACTCTCACATCAGGCATAAAGACAAGAAACATGGAATAGTGACGCACGTGGTCCAAGCAAGTGAAGAAAACAACCGCTCGATCGGGCACAGAGATATGCTTGCCCTGCTGTCAGCCTTCTTTGGAATTTTGATGACAACTAAGATTCAGCTTCCAGATCAAGATCATGATCGTTTATATTTGGGGAATAACCTGGTTTCATCACCAACAGTAAGAAGATCATGATCAGTCTTTCTGTCATGTGTTTTTGCATCTTGTTATTATATACTACTACTAGTTGGAGATCTTGCTAGCAATTGTTCTCCAAAATTTACTGATCTGGCTTTGCTTCTAGAAAAAGCATTCAAGGCAAAGCATGCTAGTTGAGGTCAATATTTTCTTTTTAAGAGTAGATGTACTTGATATTATATATTGTTGAGTTGTGACAAAACCATTAATTCGTACAAGGGCTGATTCAAGTACCTTCATAAAATCCAAGCTGCTGGGATGCCAGGAGCCGACTTCGCATTGTTCTTTTCTTTTCTTCAAGTACTACTACATGTAAAGATGAATCCACCAAAGTTGACATTCCCCAACTAAACAGTTTCTTTACCATAGGTACTTCTTATCCTCCTTGTCACTCTCTATCTCTCTTTCATGCAAATCCAAGAATATATTTGCGATGGAAGTATTGCCTAGTGTGCTTAAATGAATGACTCAGAACAAAATAATACAAAAAAAAAAAACCCGCAAGAAAATCAGAAAAAATCTTTCCACAAGGAAAGGAAAAAGTCGATATCTTCACATATTCTTTGATAAATATTAGCAGTATATTGGATTTTATGCAGGTGCTCAACGACATGACTTCATGCAGCTATATACACATGATAGTGTTAGAATACATTGATAGGGTTGACACATAGATTGAAGAGCTAACCATATCGGTTTTATAACAAAGAAGTTTCAAGTTCAAATCTCTGTTCTCTGTCTGATAATTAATTACGAAACATACATCCTGCTGTTATATATAAGTCTTGTGAAGATATATGTTTGGTCAAGTGACCCTGGCCTTTCGCTTTATCTCGAGCCAAGGGTACGCATGCTCTATTTACCTTTTTTTCCCTGGCTGCAGAGATACGTGGTGATATCTGGTACTCAAAGATTATACGTACAATTCCTTTTTAGACGAAGAATTCTTTATGCTGTTATCAGACAAAGAAGAAAAGCAGATGCATCATACCTGTGATTCAAATTGGCGGATTGAAGGTTCCAGGATAAAGTGAGGATGGATCGAGTTGTTCTAACATGAGAGATGATATCAAATTCTAAAATAAAAATCTCAGTGTCTATTCTCCTTTGTAATGGGAATATATTCTAACTCATAAATTAATGGTAAAAACTATGCATAGACGATGATACTAAGAGCTCACATCAGATAGATGATGAGATGAAACCATGTACGCCATTCTTGAAATATATTGTTCCTTGAAGATCTCTCTCCCGAGGGAAGTCAAAGGACTTTAATAAAGTAGTTCATTCATAGTAATAGACCATGTGATAAATCTTGTGGGAGTATCAACACAATATTTAACTTTAAGAAAGTTCTATAAATTTGCATCGATCCTACAGTTTAACTTCTAAATACCCACTATTTTCACACGCAACCAATTGATTTGTTTGCATTGGATTTTGAACTAGAAAGATCAGCAAACAACGAGCATTATTTAGTAAGGATTGGATAGCATTGCTTTGGATTTTGATATTGTTGTTTGCTGCTCCTTATGCTTACAGGCTAGATAGCTACGACGAGGTTTTGACAATTGAATCAAAGTCAGGTTGTGCAATCTTTTGATCTTTTAATATATCTTAAACCAGCAGCTAAACCACCGAAAGTTAGTCGTACACTGGAACTGCATTTGGCAGGAGGTTCCTATCTGAATACATTAAGCTGGGAAAAAAAAATAAAAGAGAATTGCTAAGAATCCTTCCCAGCCCTTATCATTCCTTATCTAACAAGTTTTTCCGATCACACCTATTTGCATTGATCAAATTGCAGATAGGTTCCAAAGGCCAAAGATATGGTTAAGAATCCTAATCTGGCGATTAGCCAACCCTTTTCTGCTGATATAAGATAATTCAATGTACTGCAAATAGTATTAAGTAAAATGTTAGCCGCATTTGAGTCCTTTATTTGTTTTTTCTTCTCTTGATGCAATAGTATATGGACTTTTGGGGACACAGATAGCTATTTCTTATTATTGTACTAAACCTACCGTCGGATGCATAATACTCTACTAAATCCACACTTTTCCATTTTTCAACCCAAACCCCATGGTGATTACTATAATAATTGTAGGCATTTCCAATAGTTCCGTGCACTAACAATGGTGTTCCATGTGGAAGAATATGATCAGCTTCGTTACTTTCTTTCCAGTAGGTCATGCAATGTGTTGAGAAGGAGAAGTAGATAATGTTTGTGGGTCCTCAAGGCATCTTCTTCTTCCTTCTTGTACGGCCATTACGTCTGTTTTTGTAATCCTTCAATGCTATTAAGAGTAGGTAGCTTTAGTAAGCATCTTTTTCTTTCCAATTTTCTCCTCTCCTTTCTCTCTTTTTCTGTTGGCTTTCGGTTTTCTTGAATAGAACTTATGCGAATCTTGTTATGGGAAACAAAAAGAGTGCTATCCCAATTGGATAAATTCAACTTCTTTTTCCACTTCAGCAGAGATGCCGCCAAATAGATGGAGCATCGATAGTTCTAGGATGGGAAAAATCAAACCAGAAATAGCTGATTACCTGAATGGACACGGGAGTTCTACCCTGCTCAACATTTCTTCTTCATTTCTGTCATTTCACCTTAATAAACTCAAACTAAATCTTGACAAAGCAACTTTAATTTTTGTGTGGCATTTTAGACTGTTTTTGTTTACAAATTCTTCTATTTTCGGGGGGTGTGAAAGGAGAAATATCTCATGACTTGCGTAATGCTATTCCTTTGAGAAAGACTTTGCTCTCTTTTATAAGTTAGGTATGTTCAGGATAGTCATTTTAAAATGTATTTATTGTCACATGTTATGTATTAACATACTGTTATGCAACTTGTTAGCACAAATTACAAAGTGTAGTGAGATCTAGATGTCTTTATCAATTAATCATCAAGGGCAATATAGGAATGATAGATCTTTTCGGTAGTTTATATTCAGTCTCATTATACGTTCATAGATAGTATAAATAGGTATCCAGGGTGGTTAGGTTCCTCACCACGGCAAAGCAGTTTAAACTTTGAAGTCTCCCAAGAAGCTTCATAGCACGCTCATATTACTCTTAAGTACTCGTCTTCTCCGCTGCATAACGATGGAAGTGGTTACAAGGATGGTTGCAGACAGGCCGGTGGTGATCTTTAGCAGGAGCACTTGTTGCATGAGCCATACCATCAAGACTCTCATAGGTGGCTTTGGGGCAAATCCTACAGTTTACGAGCTCGACGAAATTCAGAACGGGCAACAAGTTGAAAGGGCACTGCAGCAGCTGGGGTGCAAGCCCAGTGTACCGGCTGTATTCATAGGGCAACAGCTCATTGGAGGTCCTAACCAAGTCATGACCCTCCAAGTCAAGAACCAGCTTGTCCCATTGCTCATAAGGGCTGGAGCTATATGGATCTGAAACAGGAATTGACTTTCTACACTCAAGTCCACTACCATGCTGCTAAACAAAGTAACCAAAATAAGAGATAAGGCTTTATCTGTGTTTCCTGTTGGGTTTCGTGGTATATAGAATGAGTACTGTCACCTTTTAGATTTTTTTGCAGAGCATCCTTGTACACCGTTTTTGGGGCTGAGCAGGGTCACAGTCTTTTCCTTGTGCTGAATTTATAAGGAACTTGTATTTTAACTTGCTCATGTAAAATCCCTTGTCTATGCTAAATAAAGGTATATCTGCTATTATATGCTGCATGTAGTGGCTTGAACCTTGACTTGGCATTATATTTTCACTTGTCCTGGGAACACTAGCATATAAAAATAGAGGAGCAGAAACAGCACAAGAAGCTTCAGGGTGAGCAGGCCATTGAACAGCAGCCATGAGCTGAAAATTGGCAAGGTCAATGACTTATGATTAGCAAGGCTGAAAACTTACATGATGGAGCTGTCCTGAACTCAATATTCCCGACTGTCAAATAAGCTCTTCAATTTTATGCATTGATGACCTTCAAAAGCAGCGCCAAGTAGTTGGAATATGACAGATTATCAAAGCATTTCAAGTCATCCAGAAAAGAGGGGAAAAAAAGGTTACTAAACCTCCCTTGAGCATGATTCGGCAATATAATACTGATTTTGGGGAAGTCGACAAAGAGCAACACTGGAGCGCTCGTTAAACTATCCAATGCCTCTTAGTATATGGCAAATTTCCTTGTTTCTTAAGGCCACTAACTCGAGGAAGGAATTAGACTGAAAAAACTACTACATTGGAGGCTTCGAGGCAGCTGGATTAATCCCGAAGCCCATTATGGCCTGCAAAATTTGTTCTTCTTGTCACCTGAACAGGCCATAGCCGCTCATTCTGATGGATTCTTCCCCATTTTAGCTTGAACTGCTAAGTAACATTTCCTTCCGTCACTTTGTTTTCCTCTCAAAGCAGGGCGGTCCGTTACTGTATCATTTTCTTAAACCAGCAGCAGCCTAAATATTTCCTAGTTTCACTGAACTGACTAGTCAAACCACATTGATTCGCGTCTTGGTCATTAGCAGAATTCAGACCAGGCTAACTTCCGAATTCCGACTAGCTGGCCATTCTCGGTCGTGAGTAGGGAGAGTTTAGTCTTTCCTCGGCTAAGCACCATCACCAAATTCCTCCAAGGACATGCGTGTCCTCGACTGCTCTTTTAATTCCATATACTGGTCATAATGATTAAAAAGACCTAAATAGAATTAATTAGTAACCTAATGACCACATTAAAGGGGCTGCATAGCTTAGAAAAATAATTTAATAAGTCATGTTGGGTTCGGAAACAGCTCAGTCATCTACAACTTGATGCTGATGTTAATGCAACTTTTGTCCGTTAAAGTTGACAAACCAGTGTTAGAGAATCCAAACAAAAGCTTCTAAATTAAGCCGTATCTTTAAATGCAAAGCTGTTCGTCAAGATTTTCCTCCAATCAAAAATTCCCCTGGACAGAGTTTGCACGGCGACATCAATTGACAAAGCAAGGCTTTCTTTGCATCAGACACCTATGTTAGTTCAGAGTTGAGATGAGGCGTTGAACAAGACAGTATGGAATATAGCAATCGAACCATGTGATCTGATAGAAGACGAAAACATAATCTAAACATGAGAGGTGTCCGAAAACGAATGAAGCCACTAGCGCATCAGGGGGAATCATTGGAAATAAAAATCCATCTCTTTCAGATCATAATCAGTCTGGTTACATATTTGGAGAATAATTTAGATCCGAAAAGATGAGTTCTACTGGAGTTGCAGCTTCTGTTCATGCTTTTAACTAGCTGCTTTGTTGCGGAGAATTTTTCTCAATCTTAAATCTGGGAAAGCACCAAGATACATCAGCCCTTTGTCATATGTTTTGAGCTTTCGATTTTACTTGTTAGCTTTGAAGGGCAAAGCTTTAGTATCTGAATTTTACAAAAAGCAGAACCTACGACGGTACCTCCTGAGCTTACTGCTTATGATAGCCCATTTTTAACCATGCCGCTGGCTTGTCTGCCACATTGGAAAGGCCACTTGCCCTGGCCTCAAAACAAAAGCTTTGCTTTACCTAGTGCCTTTCCAGCTATATTACAAGTCACAAATTCGACATTAGTATATTTGTTTTTACTATTTAGTTTTTAACTTTACAACATTAATTAATATTAAGCCAACTACAAGTCCACGAAGCAATAATGTCGTTCTTCTGCGCTCTGGTGGAGATCATCCACAGCTCTAATTCACAAAAGCAATTTAATCTCAGCTTCAAGCACAAGTTAAATTGGTTTTGCCAACTTATTTTGATTTGTAAATATTCTTCTATTCCCCACTTTATATAGGAGTGCTAGCCATTATGGCTGATAGGGTTAGGTTCATCAGAGCTAAGCATTTGAAGTCTCCCTACGAACTTCATAGCACCACATATTTCCTGATTTATCTCTTTTCCGAAACCATTTGAGATCTTCAGAAACAGCAGTAGTTGCACATACCATACCATCAAAAGAATCAAAATTGACCTTGGGGCAAATCGCACTGTATATGAACTCTACCATATCGGAACATGCGGCAAATTGACAAGGCACAAGAGCAGTTGGGGTATCAGCCCAGTGTACCTGCTGTATTCACAGGGCAACAGCTCATTGGAGGTGCTCCTCAGGTTATGACCCTCCATGAGGATCATCAGCTACATCCATTGCTCACTAAGGCAGGAGCAATATGAATACGAAACAGATCTAGTTTCTCAACTCAGCTCTGATGCCAGGTTGCAAAACAAATTTTAAAAAGAAAAAGGATAACTCTACCTTAATTTTTCTTGTTGGAACAATAAAATGAGTACCAATTAACAATTTTAGATACTTCAGAGACTGGAGAGCCTCCTTACCTTGTAGACTTTCTTGGGAACTGGGAAGGGAGGGCTGCAGATATAGCAATTTATATTTAACTTCCTCATGTAATATCCCTTGCCTATGCTTTGAATTTACTTGCACCGTTTAATGGCTTGAACATTGGTTCAACATGATAGCCCAATAGATACCATGGGAACTTGCGCACAAAATACAGGATCAGTTATTACAAACAGCAACAAGCTTTAGAGAACCTAGGGCCTCTAGGCAGATATCCGTGTCAGGGCAGTTTTCTCAATGTTTGTAGGGCAAAGAATTCTATGAGGGTTAAGATAGTACAGAAGTTAAGCAGTCGCTGGATGCCTTCTGGAATCAATTCAAAGAAGATAACTACACAATAGCATAAGCATTCTTCCCGTTTCAGTCAGAAGACATAAATTGTTTGAAATCCTTTGGATAAAAGCCAGCTACAAGCCCATCAAGTCATTTGTATTTTCCTTCAAAGCAAGGTACCTCTAACCGTTTTGGTTCATCAGTTCTTTCACAGTATACCAATGCCATACAATCAAAAACTTAATAGCAATTAGTTTTAGGTCATTAATAAGCAAAACTTGAACCACATCAATTATCAAGTAACTAATTGTCCAGTCGCAATAGAAACTAGGGACTTCGTTAGTGAAAGACCATTAAAGCATCCACATTACGGACTAGTAAACCAAGTGAAAAGATAAAAAGTTGAAAACATCTAATGCATGAGAAGAAAAGCACACCAGTGACACCACACCTATAGGAGACATAGAGAGAGAAATTCGTTTTTGCCATGATTACTCATAATCATAGGTTTTGAAGAATGGTTTAGAACTAACAACGATTCACTTGGTTTTGTACATTCTGTTCTACGATTTTAATTACAATGTTCCGGAGAATTTTGTCCTGTATCACATCTCGAAGGCATTAAAAGGAAAATCCAAAACTTTATTCAGAACTGATAGCAAAGCTTACATACCGAAAAAACACCAATCAGCTCTAAGAAGAAAGAAATGAAAGAGCTAATCTACAAGTGCTTTGATGAAACGCCGAGGAAAGTGTTTACTTTCACTGATTTACAACAATTCCTTCCATCAATCATCTATCGAAAACAATACGGCGGCATAATAATTGTTTACCTGTGAATATAAACTTTCGAAACGCCGTTTCTTTGCTCTATAATGGCATTCCTCCGCCAATTCTCAACGGCTCTACGAACCGTAGCGTTTGCCTCGCGAATTTCGTCGGCGGAGAATTTGTGCTCGATGATTCCCAAAGGTCCAGGTTGTAAAACTTTGATTACAGTTTCCATTTCTTGCTCCAATTGCCTTTCAAATATCAAAGGAGTAGAGCATATGAAATTAGACGACGTAATTGCATGTTAAAAGATTCTAAAATTTGAAGACTCGGAAACCCTAAGAGGAGAAAAAGGAATTGCAAAGGCCGAATACAAGTACCGGAAAAGCTTTGGGATGGGCAAGACGTTGCCCAACTGAGAAAAAGATACGCGCATCTCAATCTTTGTTCTCAATACCCAACGTTTGGATCCGAAGATTGAAGAGAGAAGAGACACAACGTTTGGGGAAGAGGAGAGGTCGATTCCAGAATTAGCGCGGTCAAACCTCCGACAGGAAGCAATGACCGTGACGCTTCGATGAAAGGTTTCAGTTTTAAAACGCAGCGTTTTCACAAGTCTTAATGTTTTGGTTTCTTTATTTTTATTTTTGTCGGCATAGTAAATAAATAAATAAATAAATTTATATTTTGTTATTAAATTAAATCAAATATTTGTATTTTTATTTTAATTCAAACATATTATCAAGACTAACAAATGATAAATTATTAATAATAAAAATATCATTTATAATTTTTTATGTCGTATGATATTAATTTTAAAAAAAAAATATTATGAGATCATATTATTATTTTATATGAATATGTCATATCATTGTTTTATATGAATATTTCATATCATTGTAATGTTACGTTAATATTACATATATAAAAATGTAATATTATTTTATCTTTGAATTATTAACAAACATTTCCAAAGTGAATTTAGATAAAGGTTTGTACATCCGGAGAAAAATTGTTTGAAAAAGGAGGCAAGAATGTTTGTTTATACAAGTGAAAAAGTGCGATAGCTTAAAAGGCTTGTGTGTCTACTCATTCATCTACAGATTCTCACAGTCACACATGTAGCAAAATAGCTAGCATTAAGTCTACAAGTTTTGAGTGAGTATGCCGTTCCCTCAAGACTCTTTCAAAATGTGAAGGCAATCATCTCACTGAACAAAGCAACCCCAGAATCCAACACTCCAAAAAAAGACAAAAAATAGAAGCTAGTAGCTATCAACTCTGCCATTAGACCA